AAGCAACGGCGACGACTACGACGGACTAGAAAATCAAAAGGCAATACATTTAATAAAAACAGCAAAAGCTCTGATCACACTTTCTGTTAGATTTCTTTGCTATGAATGTACGACTAACCTTTCATCAAGAGCGATCGTCTGAACTTCGGAAAATCGTCTCAAAAAACCCTGCAAAGGCTCAGTATCACAATAAAAAAGAAGAAAACAGTACTTTCTCCAAAATGATTCTTTTGATGGTAAGTTGACGGAAAGTCAATATAAGTCAGTTATAATTGGTAGCCTCTGTACAGATACTCCCTCCCCTATCTGGAACCCTTAGCTTGGTTTCCGATAATTCGAACCAAACTTAACTTTCCGTCACCAGTCAAACACTGTATGTTTACCCTCGATTTTTCAAACCTCCCCGTAATTCGCTCCAATTTGCTTTGCCCAAGATGGTTCGAAAAAGCGATGTTCCACCAAGTTTATTGAACAAATGTACATGTAATTATCAAGGGTCTTTGGGGCGTTAAATGGCATGATGTTACAACACAAGCATCCCAAGCTCATGTTACGAGTGTGTTATACAAGGGATGCACCATTAGAAAAGTGATGGCGGGATTTTTTTTGCAAGATTTCTTTTTGTTCATTTAAGGTGGAAATCTCTTTTTTCTTTTTTTACCCAATGGCTGGAATATTTTCTTTTTAGTAGGTAAAACTTTCATATGTTTCATATGTCACAAACCCGACAAAGACTATTGTTCTAATACATCTTTGTTTTACTTTATTCAATGCGTCAAAGGAAGCTCACCTTCCTTCCGGTCTATTTAAGAATTTAATTGACGTATTGAATTGGGTGACTTTTGGTGCGGTTTTGCGGTAATTTTTTCTTCAAAATACGGTATTGCGGTTTTAAGAGTCCAAACGTACGGTGGCCGATAGGAACAAAACAGAATCACAAAACCCAAAACAGTAACTCAAAACTCAAAACAGAATCACAAAACCCAAAACAGAATCACAAAACTCAAAACAGAATCACAAAACTCAAAACAGAATCACTAAACCCAAAACAGAATCACAAAACTCAAAACAGAATCGCAAACCCAACTAATACAAGTAATACAAGAGAACGCCTGTTGTATCATTTACGTAAACGTTTAATGAACAAAAACGAGTGGAATGGTCGTATGTCTATCCTACCCCTATCATCGACGCACCTTGATTTGGAAACACTGAAATAAAAATATTATTTCTATTTAAAAGTGGGATGTTAGTCTTGAAAACGGCAACTTTTTTACCATTTGTAACTGCGGTTTGGGTATTTGGGTAAATTTCGATGCGGCATTGCGGTTTAATTTTCGGAGACCTCTCACGCCCCCTCTAAATATTATTGACCAAAGGCTATTATCTGTTATCGTTATCTGTATGTGATTAATTGATGACAACTCAGCCCAGATGTATTGTATGTCGAAGACAAAATATACTCCAAAGGCGCCGTAGACAAACTTTGCCCCTGGCAAAAACTGAACAAAATCGACTAAATAAGCGAAAATTAAATGTGTTGATCTTGTTAATCACATGTGGTTAAGCCACTAAAAGGATCGAACAGAGCATACATTGGGGCAGGCTACCTTAGCCTACTCCCCCTGGGGTTTCATGTTCCATTAACTGCATTTACCATCTGGTAAATGTCTTATTAACGTAAATGATATAACAGGCGTTCTCTAGTATTACTTTATTTATTACTGACCTGGATCATAAACTCTGACGGAAAACAGTTGACTCCTGTGAGGCTGTCTCCTGTTCACAATTGACTCGGTTCTGTGTTGAAGGTTTTCGAGGTCGACCCTGTTGTCGACCATGAAGGGGTTGACTACGTTGGGCTGTCTCTGGGATTCGATGGGTACATAGTACACCCAAATACTAGTACATAGGTATGACATTAAATTCTAAACATTCCGTCATGCACAACGAGTAGGACGAGTAGTAATTTTTAGACCACATCATCTTCATAGATTATCGTTCAGCCTTTTCGTGTAAAAACCTTCGTAACACACAAAAAGACATTTGTAATATGATAATCACGAAAATTGAGCGACCAGTATTATTTCATAACCCACTCGCGTGCGTGTAAATTACACATGCTGACAATGAAATCTTTTAGAATTTATACAGTTGCCATGCTTTAAAAAAGGAGGCAGGTCACCGCGACAATTTTTTCACCGATTACCGCGACATTAAATTTAAATTTATCGCATACCGCTTGGACTCTGAAAACAGCAATACCGTACTTTCAAATAAAAATTACCGCGAAACCGCACCAAAAGTAACCCAATTCAATAGGTCAATTAAATTGTTAAATAGACTAGAAAGTAGTCGAGGTTCCTTTGACGCGTTGAATAAAGTAAAACAAAGATGTATTGCAACAATAGTCTTTGTCGGTTTGTCGGGTTTGTGACATATACTGAACATATGAAAGTTTCACCTACTGAAAAAAAAATTAGCCATCGGGGAAAAAAAAAGATTTCCACCTTCCATGTACAAAAAAAGTCTTGCATCTCTTAAATTCCCCCCCCCCCTCCATCATTTTTCTAATGGTGCATCCCTAATATAACACACTCGTAACATGAACTTGGGATGCCTGTGTTGTAACATCATGCTATTTAACGCCCCAAAGAACGGGTTACATAACCCTTGATTGTTGCAGCGCATCAGCCGGCAGCAGACCGTATTCTTGAGCGATTTGAGTTTTTTCGTCCAGGTTCGATGGTTCAATCAATCTGTGACTGCAGCGCTGTGCAGTCAGCGGTTTGCTTAAGCAACTGCTTAGCTGCCGCGCCTGTTTTTCTCTTGGGAGCAACCCACCATTTTGTTTGACTCTTACGTAAGATCTGTGTGGAAATCGTAGTTCATCGGATGTTTGCTGTCTTTTTGGCCTAAACGGTAAGAACAGTTCAAGAAGTATTGTACGGAACGTTTTTCGGTTTATTTTTTTTATTCTAGGTTTCAAGATTAGTTATAGCGAGTATTCTTTTGTCACACAGATTGTTATCTCGGGAATCAGGGGGCGCTTTCCATTTAGTCAAAATTTCCGGAATTTCCGGTTCGGCGGTAAATGGAACACGTTTCGTCGGTTCGTCCCACTGGAAAATTCCCAGAAAAAGTGGAAAATCTAAAAAGGTGGTCCCGTTTTCCCGGTTGGAATTTCCGAACGGAATGTCGTGTTCCATTGACGTTTCTTGTAGTTTGTACCAGTTCCAGGTCCACGGTCGGGCACCCGGCTACGTACCGGGGTTTACGACCAAATGGAACAACTTTTTACCGATCGGAAATTCCACTTTTGCCACCACCGAAAATTCCGGCTTTTTTTTTCGTAAATGGAAAGCGCCCAGGATTGTAAGTTACATAAGTGAACGCCATGTGCTGTACATCTACCTGACCTGTGAATAAACAAGTTTTGGCCTTTACGTTATTTGTTCGCAACTCATCTCATCATATGTACGATGATCGTTCGATGAAGAAAGAACCTATCAGCACTGCTGTTGTTTTGCAATTTCGTGAATTATGCATAAATATGAAAATGAATTACAAAATCGTATTGAAACCTTAGCGAGTTATCTGAATGCAAGCATATTTGTCATCGTGATCGGTTCATTTTTTATATTACGCTCTGGGTGTTTCATAATTCCAACAAGTCTTTAAATAAAAAAGAATTCATATGTTCAACTGTTCTACAAACTGTCTTTGTCTTATTCGCATCGCAACTAACGGCAGCACTTCCCTTCTCAATGAGAACTTCTAGTAATTACATGTAAATTCAGATTTGTTCAATCACTTGGTGGAACACTGATTTTTCGAACCACCTTGGGAAAAGCAAATTGGATCGAATTATCGGGAGGTCAGTGCCGTAGCCAGACCAAACGGCCAACCGAGGCAGGGGGGAGTTGCCAGGGGGGTTCGGGGGCATGCCCCCCCCGAGAAATTTTGAACTTTAGTCTCTCGGAAATGCGATTTGCAGCGTTTTCTGGGCCTTCGGTAACTTTTTTTCGAGTTAATTTAAGTGGAATTTAAAAAGCAATAATCAGAAACAAGCTACATAATCTGGGTGACCGTTAACCTCGCCAATGGTTTTGATCAGTATTTGTTCAAAAAAAATTTGAATTAACGTACCTAGCCCCTTGAGATCGATGATATGGTAATTTTTTCATAGTATATTGACTGAATTGCTGAATTCTTTGTAATATCATGCGTAATATCATGCGTTAAAAATATCCGATGATCGCTTATGTAAAATAAAAATGATCGGCGAAATTCGTCAAAATTTTACCGAGTCGAGTGCCTCGGTTGGCCTCATATTAGCTACGGCGCTGGAGGTAATATTTAATTATCAGGTGACGGAAAGTTAAGTTTGGTTCGAATTATCGAAAACCGAGGGTTCAAGAATAGGGAAGGGGGTGTCTGTACAGAGGCTACCAATTATAAGTCAATCAGACTTAATATTGACTTTCTGTCAACTTACCATCCAAAGAATCAGTTTCAAGAAAGTAATTCGGGTATGTTTTCCTCTTTTTTATTGTGATACTCAGCCTTTGCAGGGTTTTTTAAGACAGTTTTCCGAAGTCGAGACGATCGCTCCATGATGAAAGGTTAGTCGTACATTAGTAGCAAAGAAATCTAGCAGAAAGTGTGATCACAGCTTTTGCTGTTTTTATTAAATGTATTGCCTTTTGATTTTCTAGTTTCCGTCGTAAGCGTCGCCGTTGCTTAAGCTTCTAGTAGAGCCACCACGCAAAACAATCCTTGATACGGCAAGTGACGATTTCGTTGAGGAAACCAACGATTTGATGGAAAATGTGCGACGAAAGGTACGTCCGCACCAATACCCATGTCAGTCAGACGCTCAATACTAGAACCATGCACTTACAGTCCTAAAGCAATCGGAGTCCTTATGGTTTTAAATACTGAATCAGTTATGTTTATATTTCAGTTTAAGTCACCGGCCCTGTTATTAATTTACAGACAGTCAAATTAGCTTTGAATATCGATAAATCATTTTGGAGAGAAATACTATGATAATTGTGGGCGGTTGTGCTCCAGGACACGCTATCGCTGTGTAACTTAAAAAAATTGCTTGACAGTGGCAAAACGCCATACAAACCGAATGAGCAATAATAGGGTTTTTTCATTAATCCTGAACGAAAATTTCGCTGTTCCTTATTCCAGTCAAAATGAGAAAAATTATTGTTCCAAAGGGTATTATTGACCACCTGATTATTCCATTATTCTAAAGGACAAGATTTCTGTGATTATTTATCTTCAGTCACTGAAAAAGAATTACTTTACACAGAAATTGTTGTACTTCATACTACTTCAAGAAAACCGTTGACGTTTGACCATTTTCTAATCCCCTATACTGCTCCCTCCCCCTCCCTATGTGTCGTTAATGATGTATATTTTGCAAACCCTCCATTCTTACTTTGGGTTATAAAAAAGCCGCAAACCTTTTGACAGCCGCTTTGTTTGTGTGACTCAACATCTAGGATATAAACAAGTTCTGATGTGATTCATTTTGTTTTTGAAATCAAGTAAAAAGTAATTATAAATGCGAGGTTAAACGGAGTGATTCTCACTTAGCCGAAGCTTATTTTTATGTAAGAGATGAATTCATTTAATCGCTTTATTTTGAGTCATTTAAGGCAATGGACTACAAAAGCTTAACGTTCTACTCTTTTATCAGCCGGTTTGCGCCATTTTTAATTATAGTTTTCCTCCTTACTGAAACATGGCGCGCCATTTCTTCGGGCCAAATCTAATTATTAGAATTATTAGAAATAACTACAGTCAAACCTATATCTTTGGGAATGGCTTACTGACCGCTTAATACAGATTGACTCTTCAGCTGACTCTTTCATACAAGTTTGCCAAACCTATCTATGACCGGAGTTTATCAAGAAAATCAAGATGGTGACAATGCGAAATATCCACAACACGGCAACTGTTGAAGGGGTACACAAACTGTTTCACCTTTTTTTGTGCCAAAGTGACCGTTGAACAGGTGGAGACAATAAAAAATAACTCGTTGGGACCATGAAAAAGGTGACCGCTTCAGAATATAAGGCCCGGTTCAGACGCCGCTCCACTCATGTGCCGAACCTAACTGATGAATTAAGTACGGCAAAAGATCAGAGCGGCGTCTGAATCAATTTGGTACGGCACTTTTAGTTTGGTGCGGCAAAAGCGTTAAGTTCGAAAGAGTCTGTCGAACTTTTGTCGAATTTAACTTAGGCTCGACACACGGTACGCCGTCTGAATCAGATGTCGCGCCAGTGTCGCTCCAAAGTCGAACTTATTCAGTTAGGTTCGGCACGTGAAAAGTACGGCGTCTGAACCAGGCTACAGGTCAGCTCTATAGTAATTCCGGGACTTACGAAAGTTACCGCTTAATGCAGGTCCACTCAACTTAATACAGGTTAGATTGTATGTTATGAGCTGGACAAGGAAAGTAATGTTACCGCTTGCTTACTAGCGGTGAAAGATTTCACTTAAAGATTCTAAAATAGATTTATGTACTTTTAACAAATCACCTTATTCAAATGTACGCTTCATCTAAGAAGAAAATTATGACATATCAGTTTTTTAATATGGATAATATATAATCAACAATCTTACCATTTTTACCTACGCTAATAGGGAGGTTACGCAACGACGACGAGGGCGGCTACGAAAAGATCACTTAAAAAGTGAATTTCACTCCCTCAGACTTAACCTCGTTAAATCCGTCAAATGTTGGCAAATTTTTTTGGAGTTGAATTCTAAAGTGAGGACTGGTTCAAAGTTCAGGAAAAGAAAAAGAAAGTTGTCTTCTGTTTCTGTCCTCGACAAAACGTGAAATTAGTGCGTAGTTTCACGTTGGAGTCGTGCAACGACGGCAGAGAAACGTACAAAACAGCATGATGGACGTGCAAAGTTGTTGTTTTGCTTGTCCAAACCTATTTCGTTTTTGCCGTTCTCCTTGCCCTCGCCGCCGTCGTTGCGTAAACTCCCTAATAAAAAAGTGTGTTCACAGCTCAGTCGCTGAGTTGTCTGAGTTGAGATCTAGAATAGACGGGCAATATTTTTATAGTCTATACATCTATGTGGTCGAGTGAGCTAGTGATTAACTAAAGGCTATTGTATAAGCAGTTCTCGCTGCTCTTTCGAGCTCTTTGAGCAATATTAAAACCTTTCATGCTCCGGATGAAAAGCTGGAAAACAAGTCTACGTTTAATCTAACCACCCGTCCGAGTCATGATCTGTAGTCGTTTTAAACTAAAGCACACTTCCATTAACCTCCCTAAATACTGAGCCATACGCGTTACAAAGCTTGTTTAAATTTAAAGCGGAATTCATGACAACTCAAGAACGGCTATGCTTATTTAAAGTCTTTTACTTGTTTCATTGACGAAAAATGTTCAGGAACCTATTTAGCTTCTTTTCCCAAATCGTCTACCCCCGTTTCACTGTTTCGCTTTATAAGTAACATACTCTGGATATTTCAGTCGCTTCAATTGTGTCAATGAGGCAGTGAACTGTCTTTTTGAGCTTTTAAACACACTCTATTTCCTGATCCCGGGAATAATAAATTTTTAGACCAGCAGTGACTTTTAATTCTTCTGCAAAACCTTGTAGCTGTAATTGATGGCATACTTTATTCTGCCTTCCAGAATGAAAGAATAAAATTGCTTATAGATAATTGCAGCTTAGTTTCTGATATTTGTTCAACATTCACTTTTTTTTTTTCATTTATTTGTGAGCTCTTTGTTGCAGTGTTTTAACGGCTTGTGCTGAAGCCGCAAGGTATCGTTGTAACGAAGTCACTAATGATTAATTTCAAGATTTTCAGTTAGCTGTTGTATAACTTTAGAGCTCACTGTTACGTAAGAGTTGAAATTAAGAAATAGCCAAGTTTGGTTTAGCCTGCGAACCGCAGACGCATTTCCGGGACCGGAAATGCGTCTGTGGTTTGCAGGCTAAGTTTGGTTAGGAAAGGCTCTGGAAAAGTACATGCACACTGTACATCACGTGAACTCATTAGTAAAGAACAAAGATTTGTTTGTCCCTTTTATCCAGACGAACCTGTTAAGATCCAGTCTAACCTGTCTTAATGCGTCAATCAAGGTGTGTATCTAGCCTTAAAATCGATCAACCCTAGCACTGCAGTCAGTTCAGCTTAGTCGGTGACGAAGTGAACTACAACAGCTTAACTGGACTTTTGAGTACGTTTCGACAAAGAAGCAATCACTTCTTCTCAACATGGCTCTTTCAAAGCAAGTAAGTGAATTTTCCCGACTCCAAGCAATGAATTTGAAGTCTAATCTACTTTGACAATAAGGACTAACCTTTAGCTGTATTTGTAGCACACTCAGATCATGCCACACCCTAACGACAGTTGTCAAAAGTTACTGAAAAGGCTTACTCTCAGTTGACTCAGTTACTGCATAAAACATAAAGCTGTAGAATTTTCTGATGTTCAGTTACTTGCCTAGTCTGCTACACAGCCGTTTTTAGGGTCGTCACGCAATGCTCCTCCTCCTTTTAAATCTATTTTTGTACTAAACGTAATCAATTGTCTTTCAAGTGGAATTCTGCGAGTCAGTTCTTATTTATTTTTAGAGTTTTCCTGAGTTTAAATACATTTTGTCTCAATAACTGAACACACGATCCAAAATGAAAATTTTCAAAACAAGCCTTAGTCACTGCAGAACTAAATGACGCTGTAGACAGTTGCCTATCACTACTGCTGCGATTTCCTTTTGGAAAGCGTCTTTGAGAAAAAAGTCTTGACTGTTACTCAAAAACACTCCCGGAATACTAGAAGCAGGATCTTCTCGTGCGTGAATTTTGTATGGGGTGGCGTTCGGGGGAGAGAGGCTTGCGCACTCACCAGAATTTAATCCCCCCCCCCACCCCCCCCCACCCCCCCCATTTTTTACATTTTTTGTATCCGTAAAGAAAGTTTAGTAGATAGAACGATTTCTTTCTTTCTTTTGGAGTAAAACAAGAAATATTGCAGAACAGCAGAAAGGCCCCTTCGTCAGCACACTGACTCGATGAATGAGCCTTCAAAGGTCGGTCTGAAGCGTTTCCAGAGTGGTGAAATTTCAAGCCTTTCGATAAAGTAGTAAACACTGGGTATAGAGGAGTTCACTTTGTCGTGGGGGCATCCAAAACTTTATAAAAAACCAACTCTCTTGTAAAAGCCCATTCACATTGGTTATGTCGATCATTATTGCGTTACTTTTCTATATATACCGCAGGCCTAGTTAGAGCCTATGCCTTATAGTACAGGCTCTCGCAGTTGTCTTATAGAAGCAATACCTTTTAAAACTTCAAGAATTAAGTCGTCGTTTTGCTTAGTTGAATCTAACGTGAAAACCTCGTGAATCTATCGACAACGATAAAGAAAATCGATCTTTACCCCTTTTTACGGCTCGTATCTAGCCAAAGACTACAACTTTTTTACGAGATTAGTTTACTCAGTACAGCTTTCAAAAAGTCAGCTGTCTTTCAAAACTTCTATCGAGCCAATCGGAATGCCTTAGCGGAGCCTATTCTATCAATGTTTAACCGGAAATATGGGAACGGATTTTTTCATTTTAGTATTTATTTAATTAAACACCCAAAAAAGGTAAAAAGGTAAAGATCGTTTCATTCACTGCTTTTGCACTTGTCATGCGCACTAAGTTTGCAACGGTTAATAAAACCGGGTGCGTGGATTGATATTTGCGCGACAAGCAAATTAATAAATGAATAAATGAAAAAATAATGGTTTTTATCATCATTTTTTTGCAAGACTGGGATCCAAACTGAAATGAAGACCAAGTTTCATATGGACGGGATCGTCAATGGACACTCCTTTGAGGTAGAAGGAAATGGAAGTGGACAGCCTTACGAGTAAGTTCCAGCTAGTTAAATGCAGTAGCCTCTTGTTTAAAACAGATCTCAAACAATAAACCCCAAACCTCCCACGCTTTTTTTAAAG